TTTTTAATATTATTATTATATTATTGTTTTTCTTAATTTTTTACACATATAGCCTATATTTAATTATTTTTATTTACTTTAGGTAAAGTCCTGACAAATCTATTTCCTAAAAAAATTGCTCCTTTTGTTTTCTGCTCATGAGAAGCATATTAGCCTGGTAATTGACCTGCAATTCATTTATTGTTGAGATTAATGGCAAATGAGTTTCACATTTCTTAGTTTTTATACATTTAGTTGATCAGTTCCCCTATAGCGCATGTGTTTGGACTGTGAGGGAAACCGGAGCACCCGGAGGAAACCCCCGCCAACACGGAGAGAACATGCAAACTCCACACAGAAACACCAACTGACCCAGCTGGGACTCAAACAGTGACCTTATTAAAATCAAATAAAACTTCAATTACTACAAAAGTGAAATGATGGGGAGATTCTTCTCTAATAAGTCAGCCAGGATGGCGGCATCATCATAAGGGAGCCCAATGCGCTCTGATGATGTCACTGGGAGGCATCCTCTCCTGTGATGTGTTCAAAATGCGGTCTGTTCACCCATCCAAAACATGACTGCAACAGCTGCGCCCCAGAACTGTGGCGTACCACACACACACACACACACACACACACGCATATACAACCAGTGCTAAATCTGTGCACACACATGGAGAAGTTGAAGTCAGAATTATTAGCCCCCCTATATATTCTTTCCCCCAATTTCTCTTTAACAGAGAGAAGACTAATGTCAACACATTTCTAATCACAACAGATTTAATAACTCATCTCTAATCACTGATTTCTTTTCTCTGTCATGATGACAGCACATAAAATTAGACTAGATATTCTTCAGGATACTAGTATTCAGCTTAAAGTCACATGTAAAGGCTTCACTAGGGTAATTAGGGTAAAGTTAGAGTAATTAAGCAAGTCATTGTATAACAGTGGTTTGTTCTGTAGACAGTTCAAAATTAATATTGGTGAATAAATTGACCTTAAATAGGTTTTATTGTAGCCGAAATAAAACAAACAAGACTTTCTCCAGAAGTAAAAATATTATAGGAAATACTGTGAAAAATTCCTGAATCTGTTCAACATAATTTGGGAAATATTTGGAAAGGAGGGCTAATAATTGTGGCTGTTGAATGTGAAGCTGATGTATGACGGCTAACACATCGCTCTTCCTCCTGCACATGAGGAAACGTTCTCTTCAGGGAGGGGCTGATCATATGAAAGAACTCGCAATCAGAGCTCTGTAGGGTGGAGCCATGCCAAAACATGCAGATGAGTATGCAAATGAGGTCAGAGCCAGCTGGGCCTGAGTGCGTCTGGTGGGTGGAGATCTCAATGTGTGCAGTTGCATGTGTAATATGTGCAGCTGAAGTCAAAATGATTCGCCCTCCAGTAAAATGTGGATGCTTTTAAATATTTCCCAAGCGATGTTTAATAGAGTAAGGACATTTTTCAGCATTCATTCATTCAGCTTAGTCTTTATTTAGGGAATATTTAGCGGAATGAACCGCCAACTACTCCAGTACTGGGAAACACCCATACACACTCATACACTGCGGCTAATTTAGTTAATCAATTCCTCTATAGCGCATGTGTTTGGACTGTGGGGGAAACCGGAGCACCCGGAGGAAACCCACGTCAACACAGGGAGAACATGCAAACTCCACACAGAATGACAACTGACCCAGCTGGGACTCAAATCAGTGACCTTCTTGCTGTGAGGCAAAACACTGAGCTAAACACTGAGCCACCATGCCACTTTTACAGTATTTCCTATTGTATTTATTATTGTTTTCTGTAAAAAGTCTTATTTCTTCTAGCTTTCCTGGATTAAAAACTATTTTTATTTTTTATAAAAACCTGGAAAGGTCTAAAGCACTCAAACACTTCACAAAGTGCGTAGATAAAATGCTAGTTTAGTAAAACTAGAAAACTCCAGCAACACTTGTAATGAAAGGAGAAAATTGTAATGAAATATAATAAATACCAACATGTTTTTGTGCCAAAGCAAGGCTTTTAAGCCGAAACGCGAGGGCATATATTTTATTTCATTAAAAAAATTATACTTTTATTACAAGTGCTGCTGGAGTTCCCTAGTTTTACTTAAAAAACTATTTAAAACTCAATATTATCAGACACTTTAACCTTCCCCCCTCCCGACTGGACCGAACAATAGTTAACAATAAAAACATTAAGAACTATAAAAACAATAATAAATAAAGAACAATAAATAATAGTTGTGCCATAATTAATATTAATTATTACTGAATTAATTCCTATCTTCATGAAAAAGACAAAAGAGGAGTTATTAGGAATTAGTTATTAAAACTAGATATTAGTTATTAAATTTAATATGCTTAAAAATGTGTTGTAAATGTGTTAAATAGCACTCTGGAATAATTTTTAAATAATATAGATTTTACAGAAGGGCTAATCATTTTGACTTCAAATCAATTAGCCATCAGTTAGAATTATTCGCCGTTCTGTATAATTTTCCCCTAATTTCTGTTTAACAGAGAGATTTCTTCAACACATTTCTAAACATGATAGTTTAATAACTAATTTCTGATTTCTTTTCTCTTCACCATGAAGACATAATCACATAATATTAGACTAGATATTCTTCAAGACACTGGTATTCAGCTTAAAGTGACATTTAAAGGCTTCACTAGGGTAATTAGGGTAAAGTTAGGGTAATTATGCAAGTCATTGTATAGCAGTGGTTTGTTCTGAAGACAATCCAACACTAATATTGCTGAAGAAAGCTAATAATATTGACTTTAAAATTGCTTAAAACTGCTTTTATTCTAGCTGAAATAAAACAAATCAGACTTTCTTCAGAGGAAAAAATATTATAGGAGATACTGGATCTGTTCAACACCATTTGTAAAATATTTGAAAAAGAAATTCATATGAGGGCGAATAATTTTGACTTCAACTGCAAGTGTGTGTGTGTGAGGTTATGTCTCAGGGGAGGAGTGTATAGAGGCAGTATTTGGGTTAAAGTGAAGAGGTTGCAGCAGTTCATGCTGTGCACGCCATTCATTTTGAATGAAGTACATCCAAACGTGGGGAAACATGAATGCGCGGCCCTTTCCGTCGATGTGAACACTTGTCTATAATGCATTAGCTCCTCTACTATCGCACCGTTCACACATGGCTTTCAGAGGCATGAATAAACACTCCTCTGTACGCCTGCCTCCAAAGCCAGCAGAACGTAAACCGTCTAATTGAAAGATCATGATGGAGTGCTGTGTTGACAAAACACGGCTTCTGAATCTGAATCAACACTTTGGTGCAGAAGGGAATCTTTCATTCATCCCAGTTGTGCTGTTGACAGTTTGTTTTGAGACATTTGTATGGTGCCCGAGAGAGCTTAGCATGCTGCGATTTAAGAGAAGGCAAGCGATTACAAAAACAACAGCAGATTAAGGAAATATTCTCATCGGTTTGACAGCATATGCGTTGCAAATCCTCACAATGGACACACAAAAAAGCCTGCTTCTTCCCACAACACATGCAAATGGCACAGAACACAGCAGAGATGTTTAGCGTTTAACAAAGTCTACTCAAGGAGGTTGAGCATTCTCATATATGGCTCCTAGAATAGTCTTCCTGTTATGTCCGAGGCTCAGACACACAAACCTAGATTAAAGACCTATCTTTTTAGTAAAGCATACACTCAATGCATCACATTAACAGCATGATGCATGAGTGTGCTCCATGCATGTGAGTGGGCTTGACAAACCACTTGTATGACACACTCCTTCTGTCTTAATGCACCAGACATTTAGTTAAAAATACTCGTTTGCTGTATATGTTTGTTTATATATATCTCTTATTTTCATTAATAGCATTTCATTTTCATATTGATATTTAATATTTCTTGTTTAAATACACTATGAACAGCAGCTACGCTCGTTATTTTATTTGTTTTCCATTTTTACCTGAATATACTCATACCGAGGGCTCTAGAGATTGTGCAGCACCACTGATAAATCCAAGTCCTGTGAAGAGATGATGCCAACCATAGAGGACCTTGAAACCATTGAGGACCATTTTTTCCCCTTGAAATATTTCTATGGTGTTTCGTGCTATTGCATATGTTGTGAGATAATGCATCTGTGTTTTTTAATGTGTTTGTTTTGTGAAAATTCGCAACGTCTGCAGTCAAACCGATGAGGATCTTCTCTTAATTTGCTGGTGTTTTTTGTAATTGCATGTGCTTTCTTGAATTGCAGCACTCTAAGCTCTCTTGGCCATTACATTTGACATAAAACAAATTAGTTTACACCTTTCTTTCTCCATCTTATTATCCCTTTATTATTTATTTATTTAGTAAGTTAGTTAAGCTATTCATTTAGTTAATCTTTAAATATTTTGTTGTTTATTAATTCATTTATTTAGTTAGTTTTTTACAAAAAGTGTTATTTATTTATTTATTTTTATATATTTATTTTTAAATAAATTAAAAAAATAATTAAATAATTTAGATTTTTATTTATTTAGTTATTTTATTGTGTATTTACTTATTTGTTATTTATTTCTATATACATAATTATTTATTATTTATCTTTTATTTATTCATTTATTTATTTTATTCTTTCTGTCTTTTTATTTATTCATGTGTTTATTTTTTGTCATTTTTTCTTTCTTTATTTTTTATTAATGTAGTTATTTATTCATTTATTTTTTTGTTTATTTACTTATTTTTATTTATTTATAATTTTTATTTGTTTAATTTTTTTTTTATTTGTACATTTGTATATTTATTTATATATTTTTATTTTTTTGCTTCCTCTGTGTTTAAATGATGTTTTCTGTTTGTATTTACAACCACTATGCTAGCTAGAAATTGATGGACTAACATGCAAAAAAAAACCTAAAATTTAAATAAATAAAAAAATCCAATAAATCAACTTGTACACTTGTGTCGTACTCTATGCAACGTTGTATTTTTTAATAAACATAAGTATTAAAGAGAAAAGTTTGGCACCAACCTGAGATCTTGCATCCGTAGACCTCGAACCGCAGTGCGATGCCAGTTTCCCAGTTAATGGGTCGGATCCGCAGGTATCGGGTCAGCGTGGGCTTTGGAAACTTGGCTTTCACCACATCAGTAGGGTTGGTGTTACCCTGGAAAAGCTGACAAACCAAAAACAAACACATCAACTATGAACTAAGATTGTTTAAGGGGGACACAGGATTATAGCTTTAGCTCGAAACAAAAGCTTCAACAGGGCCTTATATAATACAATTTATGAATAATTTTTCCTATTTTCTCCACATAAACTGTACATTGACCTAGTTTAATTTACAGTAGATAAAGACAATTTATAAATATATTTCATAAAAACAATAAATCTGAATAGCTGCTCCTCAGAACCATAGTAGACCTAAAATTGACCTGCAATTCATTTACTGTTGAGATTAATGGCAAATGAGTTTGTCTTTCACCACTTTAACGGTTTGAACTACATCAGTAGGGTTGGTGTTCCCCTGGAAAATCTGACAAACGAAAAACAAAGCACATTAATTATGAACTAGGTTTGTTTAAGGGAGCCACAGAGGACACAGTGTCGACACTATCTAGTCAGGAGTTACAATCTTATTTCTAGCCTACACATCATATTGAGCTTGTTTTAAGAATGCAAGATCAGACTGTGTAAGAATATTATGATTGTTTTAAGATTGTTTATCTATTTTCTAACATAGTAAAGCTTTAGGTTAAGGTGCTAAACATGCAAATTTGGCTAAATTACAATCAGGTGCATAGTTTAAGACCAGCCTGTATTTTAGGACTTTATTTTAGCTGTGAAAACTTAAGTTTACTTATTTAAAACTGCTCAATCACACTTATACTTGTTTTTTTTTTTGTGACAAAATACATTTGTTATGTTTCATCATACTATGGTCAAGTCTAAACCTTAATTAAAAGGAATGTAAACAATATTAATGTACAGTATGTGTGATCCTGATTTAATGCATACAATAATTTTATTTTAAGTTGAAATGCTTTGGCTCATTTTAAGACAGAATATATAATGATGATTCGTATATGAAGAGGAATACTCTTTCACACAAAATAAGAAAAGCAAACTGTTTAAAAAGCAATTAAAAAGCTAGTTTTAAAATAATCAGACTAAACAGACTGCTTACATTAAGTGCTATAATCCTCATTTAAGACTTTTCATTCTCTTTACTAAAGCCGAGGTACATTTTCTTGTTTCAAGAAATCTTCAAGTCTAATTATCTCACTGCACTTATTGTATTCCAGTCTGCATTGTCTTAAATCATTCATCTGTTTCTCATATTTACAGCTGAAGTCAGAATTATTGTTATTAGTTTAATGGAGAGCAGATTTTCCAACCCATTTCTAAACATGATAGTTTTACTAACTCAATTCTAATAACTGATTTCTTTTCTCTTTGTCATGATGACAGCACATAATATTAGTCTAGATATTCTTCAAGACACTAGTGTTCAGCTTAAAGTGACATTTAAAGGCTTTGCTAGGTATTGTTTTTAACAGACAGGACACAGCAAGTAAACTTTAATTCAGGGTTATCTGATGTAGCAACAAGTAGTACAGGGGCGCCACAAGGGTGTGTAAGTTCACCATTTTTGTTCACCCTTTATACAAACGACTGCGTTAGGCAGCAGACAAACCAATATATTCTTAAATTTTCCGATGACACTGTACTATTGCACCTTTTCACAAAGGATGCCAGCATCGGGGAATATAGAGCGGGTGTAGAATGGTCAGCTGGTGTGATGACCACAATTTGGAAATTAATGTTAAGAAAACGGAGGAGGTCATCATAGACCCCAGGTCAGTAAGCAATAGGAGCTCTATTGTGGTTTATGATAAAGACATTAAGCAGGTTGATTCATATGAATATTTAGGAGTGAATATTGATCGTGAACTTAATTAGCACTCTCAGGTGTCAAGTCTTTGTGCACGAATTCATCAGCGATTACACTTTTTACGCAGACTAAGATTGTTTGGAGTGAGTAGCAGCATAATGATGACTTTTTATAAAGCAACAACAGAGTCTATTTTAAGATATGGGATTATTGTTTGGTTTGGGAATCTGACAGTAAAAATGAAAACCCAATTAAATAACCTGATGAGAGTGGCAGGAAAAATCATGGGAATTAAGACACTTGGTTCACTAAAAGACATCTTCGAGTTGTGCACAAGCCAACAAGCCAACAAGATTTTATCTGATTCTTCACATGTGCTGTCTGTGGAATATGAGCTGATGAACTCTGGCAGAAGATATAGGGTCCCGTTGTGCAAGTATAATAGATATAAACATTCTTTTGTTCCTTTTTCAATTAAGTTGATCAACGAGCAAGTAGGGAAGGACGGTCAAAGATTAAGATAACAGGATTGGTTGGCACAATAGAGGGCAGCGGGGCACATGGTACTTTATTTTTTATAAAATTTTTTTTTTTTTAAATTACTGATTTTATGGAATCGTATTTATATTAGGAGGTATTTTAGGATTAGATTTTAATGTGTTTGTATGTTACATGTTGTCTTGTTGGTGTCTATGTACAGCAGAACCTTTTTTCTAAAACAAATTTCTCCTACAGGAGACAATAAATTTTACCCTGACCTTGAATTAGGGTAAAGTTAGGGTAATTAGGCAAGTCATTGTATAACAGTGGTTTGTTCTGGAGACAATCCAACACTAATATTGCTGAAGGGGGCTTATAATTATGACCTTAAAATGACTTTAAAACAATTAAAAACTGCTTTTATTCTAGCCGAAATAAAACAAATAAGACTTTCTCCAGAAGAACAAATATTAGAGGAAATACTGTGGAAAATTCCTGAATCTGTTCAACATCATTTGGGAAATATTTGAAAAATATCTTTGGGAAATATTATGAATAATAAATACTTTTGACGTCAACTGTAGATGGTCATTTTTGAGCAGTGCAAGACTGGGATTCACCTAACACTCAGAAACACACACACACACAGCCACATCAGGAATGTGTTTAGATCAGCGTCCTCAAATCTGACAACCTAAATAGAGCTTGAATTGAATTATCACTGGAGCCAAATGCGTCGCAGGACAAAAGCCACTTTGTGATGTCAGAGTCTGGGTTACAACTAGCGCTCGGTGTTTGGGACGCTTCAGCTACACAATGCTCTCTGTTGTTTTTGCAATGAATCAAATCATGTTATGTCCATGCACACAGATTCCTGCTGACAGTCTGCACATGCTCTCGCTGATGGGGGGATCCAGGATTGTGTCAGAGAAAGGTGAAACTCCTCCAAGAAACACAATTGAAAGCAACCCTGTTAGTCACAGCATCTTGTTTCACTGGTCGCTATATAAAGGTCAGAGGATGAAGCTTCTCTCTTTCTCTTCCTCAATTTCTGTATTTATTCTGTCAAGATAGCTGACAAACTATGAACTGTGATTGCTGACGGCAGCATGTCATTGTACTGGATGTACTAATAAAGGGTGTTGTGGTGATATCCGTGCACATTAGGGGTGTAATGGTATATGTACTCCTCTCAAACCATCACGTTACAGTGATATCAGTTTGGTTCATGAGCTCACATGATCAATACAGTCAGTATATATAACATTCACTCATTCACTTAGTCCCTTTATTAATCTGGGGTCACCACAGCGGAATGAACCGCCAACTTATTCAGCATTTCTATATGCAGCGGATGCCCTTCCAGCTGGGAAACATCCAAAGACTCTTATTCACACACACGTTTTTTAGCCTTAAATCTGGCAACCCACACTTGCGTGTTTTAAACCAGGCGTGCAATACCTAGTTCATCCACTAGGTGTCAAACGTACATACTGCACCTTTAAAGTCAGTGAATTCAACACCGTTGTGAACCAGACAAGGTCAAGCTATAAGCCATACAGGATGACCAAGTGCTGCTAAGCTCAAGTCATAGCACACAGACAACCGTCCACCCCAGAATCCATGCTGCTAATCGTGTCCCTGGACTCTACTTGTCAAAACGTGTGTGTGTGTATATGTGTGTGTGTCTGGGTGGGAGACACATGAGGAGCCGTCCACTATCTTTAAATGTCACGCCAATGCTCTGCTCTGCTGCTCTAAGTAGTAAAAAGGCTTTCCTTTGTGCAACAAGCCCACCGCCGAACTGCAGTTTCAGCAGTCTGTAAATGGGTCCTCGCCTCACAAAAGCACTTTAGAGGCCGGCAGACAGAAACAAGGCACCGCACCTTAAAAATGCACGCTCGAAAAAAGAGAACGGTGTACTTTAGTTGAGGCTCGACACTGAAATTGGGCCTTTGGGTATATTTAAGCTCACTGTTACTTTCAGGCATGAAGATAGAGACACACATACACACACATATGCACACCACACACACCTAATTGGCTTGCAGAGCTAGACAGGTCTATTTCAAACCTTGTATTGTTAGAGCCAGTCTGCCACACACACATAAACATGTCTTGAACTCGCAAATGAATAAAACACAGCCATAAACTTCACACATTGGAGGCGTCTCAAACCCTTGGAAAGCTGCCCGCAGGAAAAATACCAGGGAGATTTAAAACGAAGGTAGAATTTGCAAGAAAGGCTTACTTAAGGGTCACTTATTTATATATTTTAATAGGTAAAGGTAGATTGATAAATAACTGAAGAAATTTTTATCATAGTTTTTATTTATTTTTACATTTATTTTTATTATTTTTTACATTAATTTTTTTAATTAATTAATTAATTAATTAACTTTTACATTTATTTATTTGTTTTTAAATGTATTTATTTTTCAATTTATTTATTTATTTTTATATGTATTTATTTGTTTTTATATTTCTTTTATTTTTTTACATTTATTTATTTATTTTTAAATTGATTTTAATTTTTTATTGACTTATTTATTATTTGTAATTTAATGCAAAATTTTTATAATGCAAAGTATAGCTTTATTAATGTATATACATTTAAAAATAATCACAAATAAATATTCAAAACAATTCAAGGATGTAAGATGCTGATGAAAAGGGGGCCATTAGAGTTTTTACATTTTTTTTTTATATATTTATTTTAATTAAAATAATTTTGTGTTAGAGCATGTGTGTTTGCTTTTTTAATATGTTTATGGTTCATAACATTTTTTTTAACTTAAGAGTTTTATTTATTATTATTATTTTCAATATATTGAGTTCAAATTAAAGGGGAATTAGATATGTTGCTTTAGTAACAAGCTTAAAAATGTATTTATTCATTAGTTAGTGATTATTTAGCCTGCAATTTTAGCATCAATAAGATAATATTATAGTTTTATGGTGGCTCAGTGGTTAGCACTGGCCTCACAGCAAGAAGGTCGCTGGTTCGAGTCCCGGCTGGGTCATTTGTCATTTCTGTGTGGAGTTTGCATGTTCTCCCAGTGTTGGTTTCCTCCAGGTGCTCCGGTTTCCCCCACAGTCCAAACACATGCGTTATTGGGGAATTAATGAACTAAACTGGCCATAGTTTATGTGTGTGTGTGTGTGTGTGTGTGTGAATGAGTGTGTAAGGGTATTTTCCAGTACTAGGATGCCCTTCCAGCCGCAACCTAGAACTGGAAAACACCCTTTACACTGCGTAAAACATATGGTAGAATAGTTGGTGGTTCATTCCACTGTGGCAACCTCTGTAATAGAGACTAAGCTGAAGGAAAATGAATGAATAAATAAAAACTAGTCACTAAGCATTTATTTTATGACAAAAACAGTTTAATTTTACTTTAATGCATGCAATAACCCTGTTTCCACTGTAATTGCATTAGTGTAAACACAAGCTTTGTTGCTTTTTTCTATGCCAAGCAACAAGCAGTACTAGGATTATCTGCGTTAACACAGCCATCTATACTTGTCCTGAACCTGGAACAGTCCCTAACCATTACATATTTGACATATTACAATGAAGCACTGTTAAACAGTCCAGGTTTGGTTCCATACAGCTCACTTTCCTCTAAATGCTAAAGAAGCCCTTGTATTTTTCCAGTCTAACATGGAAGTAATCCTTGAAGAGCTACATTTCCAGAGCTCATTGGCAGGAATCCCTGTAAACATCGTCCTCATTGTAGCACTGTCACCGTGTGTTTTTACTCCAGACGCATGTGTGTGTGTCTCTGACTGCATTATGTGCTCTGTGTGGTATGTTAATCCGCCCTCTTAAAAGACTGAATCTGCAAGCTCTGTAAAACTCCAAAGACACCACTCTTTTTTTTCTCCCTCTCTTTAAGGAATGATGTCAACATTTGTGGTGGGACTTTTTAACTTGAAATGAAAGAACAAAAGAGTTAATAAACAGAGAGTGGCAAATGAAGCGAGCGAGAGGCATTCTGGGAAGGGTTTTTCAGGGTTTGAGTGTTTGAACAGCTGGTTGGACACTGTTTAGCACGGGACTGATTTAAGAGACGTTGATCCACTTGCCATCAGGTGAACGGCATTAACACATACCACAACATAGATCGGTTAAATATAGGGAGACGTTTAGTATATGTGGTTGGAAGGGCATCGGCTGCTTAAAACATATGCAAGAGTAGTTGGCGGTTCATTCTGCTGTGGCAAGCCCTGATAAATCAGGGCCTAAGCTTAAGGAAAATGAATGAATGAATGAATGAATGTGTAGTATATTTGACACTTTGGCCAAATATTAAATCATAATAATAGAAAATAAAAAACACAAAATATTAATGGAAAAGAAAAACACGATAGATAGATATATGGATGCACTTCAGCAGTGTTTATTTGAGAGCGCACAAGAAGATCTGCGCTCTCTTGAAGCGGCTTATATTTGAGGGGGCGTGCAAGAAGTTTTGTGCACGAGCAGAGGAAATCAGCGCGCAAGCAAAGAGATCCACATGCTGTAGGCTATTACATAAACGCGATCTCGACTTCTAATACTGCGCTAACGACATTTGTCACTGAAATAACGCCACAGGCAGATCTGTGTAAAAAAAAGGCCTGCCGCCACAGCTGGAATATATATATATATATATATATATATATATATATATATATATATATATATAATAAGATTAAAATCTCATTTGGTGTAACAGTACTACATGATAAAAGTTTTGTCAGCAGAAATATTTACACTTAAGAAAATGAAAATAAATACTAATAATATAAAATACTAATAATTGTCTTTTTAAGTCTTTACATCCCCCTGTCCTTCACTTGGTTTTACCCATTTGTAATAAAAATAAATAAATTTAAAAACAAACATACAAATAAATAAATAAATAAATAAATAAATAAATAAATAAATAAATAAATAAAGGAGCAAGGAAACTCACAGTATTTCCTATATTTTTTCTTCTGGAAAAAAATCTAATGTGTTTTATTTTGGCTAAAATGAAAGCAGTTTTTATTTTTTAAAAACCATTTTAAGGTCAATATTATTAGCGCCCTTCAGCAATATTAGTTTGTTATAAAATGACTTGCCCAATTTCCCTAACTTTACCCTGATTACCCTAGTGAAGCCTTTAAATGTCACTTTAATCTGAACACTAGTGTCCTGAAGAATATCTAGTCTAATATTATGTGCTGTCATCATGACAAAGAGAAAATAAATAAGTCATTAGAAATGAGTTATTAAAACTATCAATGTGTCGAACAGAATTGGAGAAAATATAAATAATTCTAGTTTAACTGGTGGTCTTCAACTGTATGTGGTTAAATCAGTGTATGAGGGAAAGTGTAACTAAAACAACAGATTCAATGCACCTTTAGGAAAGACCCCACAAATAAACCTCACCTTCTGTTTTGGGCCATCCTTAATAGTGATCCAGTCTTCACCATTGGAGCTCACGTCCACCTTATATTCCTTCACGTAATATTTCTTCTTGGTCTCCTGAGAAATGGCTCCCTGTGTGCCGATGGCCGAGACAAAGCGCAGAAATCCAAGATCAACCTGAGGAGAGAAAATAAAACGTATTACTGCCATATTAAAATACAACACAGGGAGTATCGCTTTAAAAGTGGCTTATCGCGTGTCACATATTGAGACCCCAGGTGAATATTAGAATGAAAGATTAATTTTAATGAATCCCGATTTAATAAAGCATATAGTCGACGTGACGATTTAATTTCCTGAACGGGAGACAAGAGCTTATTGGATGAGGAAGGATATTTAGTGCAAAAAAAAAAAAAGAAATGGTCTGAAAGGGAATGTGTATTTCAGATGTGTGTTGAAAAATGGATGCTTCATGAAGTAGTCATGAGTTCTGATGTCATTCCTGTGAGCTCGCGGCAAGAGAGGCGGTCAGGAGGAAGGTTACCGAAGATTAAACAATGTGTACAGTGTGTGGATGGCAATGGAGGATTCTTAATGCAAGTGATTGCATGGAGAAATGCAATATGTGTGGCACTTCAAGAGTGAGTGAGAGTTGGTTTGGTTTGACCCAATGTTGGGCTACAACAACCAAGCATTTAACGTAAAAGCTAAAGCTGGCCAAAATTGCGAGATAATATCTTGATATAACCATTTAGCATAAAATAAAATGTAATTGAAAAAATGAACACGATGTTAGGTTTTTCCACAATTGACCCAACATTAAGTTATGACAACCCAGCATTTTTTTGAAGCTACTGTATGTCAAAATATACAAACCCAGCACTGGTCAAATGTAGACTTATATATAAATATAGACTTGTGTCAAATATAGACAAACCCAATAAAAATAAATAAATAATTTTTTTTTTTTTTAAATTAAAACTTGAAAGTTTAATTTAAATTTAATTGAAAATATTATCCCAATATTGGGTTTATTCTCAATTGACCCAACATTGGGTTACGAAAACCCAGGATTTTTTAAAAGCTAGAACGAGACAAGATAACACCTGTATATTAGACACACACCAATGCATGTCTGCAATATAACTGGCTGTTTAATGAAATTCAATGTTTATTTTGCGCTAAGGTTTTAAAAGAGCACAACGCCCTCAATAAAATGCTGGGTTGTTGTAAACAAACACTGGGTCAATTTATAGACAAACTCAACGTTGGGTTAGTATTTATATGTTATTAGATGTAAATGCCATTTTAACACATTTCACAAGTTATTTTTAATCCAGCAGTTGAGTTTGTACATATTGACCCAACATTTCTCCATTCTCTCAGACACCCTTGGGCCAAACGTTGGGTTACAATGCACTCTATAGTGTTGGGTTTTCATAAACCAACTTTGGGTTAAATATGCACAAACCCAACAACAACAACAAAAAGTTTAGAAGTTTAAAAAATATTAAAAACAGTCATTTATATTCATGATGAACCCAATGTTGGGTTTGTCCACAATGTACACTATATTGGGTTATGACTACCGAGCGTTTTTAGAGGATAAAACTCACTGTAAAAATGCTGGTTTCCACACGACTCCTTCATGTTGTCCCAACACAAATGAATTAAGTTAACTTAATGGGTTGTACAATTTTAAATTGTTCCAAACAAACATCAAGAATTATGTTGATTCAGCTCATTTTAAACAAGTAGCCTGAACAAAAATACATATTTTGGGTTCTGGCCAAAATTGCAAGATAACACCTTTGTGATATATTGGGTTAATTTATTCTGTATAAGTGACCGTACCATGAAATGCAATTTTGCTTTGCATTTCACTAAATAAACATTATTTCATTTTGTACTAAAAAACAAAAACTAAAGGTTAAATCAAAAGAGCATATGAGCTCTGAAAATGAGCTGTCATGACCTAACATTGGGTAATTTTACTCTGTTAAATTTAAATGACACTTTTTAACCCAGCTGTGGTGTTTGTGTAAATGTGACAACAACCCAGCATTTTTTAGAAGAGCAAGTCAAAATTGCAAAATAACTTTTTGAAATGGATGTACTGTATTTCTGCAATCTATGAATACATTTCTGTAATATTTGACACAGAGTTGGGTTACAGCAACCCGGCATTTTAGAGTGTAGCGTAATTTTAGGAGGTAAAAACTGTAATTAATTAATGAAAAAAACTCCAGAATCACACTAGTGCACTCTATGATCACAGAAAGAGCTTACTGCAAACTCAGTCTTTTCAATATTGTGCAGAACATTGCTCTGATATCACACAAATAAGGTCTTTGTTTCTGCAGATCTGATATGTGGCTCTGCTCAAATCTCCATGGCGGGAGATGAGAGAGCTGTGCAGCGGCCAGCGACCGGAGATCAGAAAGCTTGGCTGGAGAAAAGACAGTCTGGATCAGTTTCGCCCACACCAGCTGATCACAGATCAGAACTAATGAGCGCCTTGTGATTTATTAACCACTTTCTGCTTTAAAAGAGGAGTGGGGGAGGGGTGAATGACACTAGAGAAAAAAATATATATATAAACGAGAGAAAATCCCAATGCATTTTACAGTACAGAGGATCAGACCTGTCTATATAATCATTATAAAAGAGCACAATTAAATACCAAAATTAATGATGCTTTCTAACAGGTTTCCACAATGCTGTCATTGGTCAGTTAAATCTGCCTCAAACTTACTCCATTGGCTGAGCTGTCGCTTCAGCTATTGGTCAGTTAGCTCTAGCTCAAAGTCATTCCATTGGCTGAACTGTCTCTGGTGCAAATGGTCAGTTAGTTCTGTCTCAAATTCCATTGGCTGAGATGTTGCTGCCATTGGTTAGTTAGTTTTGTCTCAAAATCCATTGGCTGAACTATCTCTGTTGCTATTGGTCAGTTAGTTTAGCCTCAAACTTACTCCCTACTGAGCTGTCTCTTCTGCTATTGGCCAGTTAGTTCCTTAAAATACTTCCATTGGCTGTGCCGTGGTTGCTATTGGCCAGTTAGTTCCACCTTAAACTCATTCCATTGCCTAGGCTGTCTTTCCTGCTATTGGTCAGTTAATTCTTCCTCAAATTCTATTGGCTGAGTTGTTACTGCTGCAATTGGTCAGTTAGTTACACCTCAAAGTCACTCCACTGGCGGAATTTTCCCTGCTGCTACTGGTCAGTTAGATTCACCTCAAACTCCATTGGCTGAGCTGTCGGTGCTGCTATTGGTCAGTTAGATCTACCTAAAACTCCCTTCATTGACTGAGCTGTCTCTGCTGCTATTGGTCAGTGAGATCTACCTTAAACTCACTCCGTTGGCTGAGCTCATATCCCATATATATATAATCAAACTTCATTGGTCATTTAGTTCCAACTTTAACTCCCTTTATTGGCTGAAATGTCTCTGCTGCTATTGGTCAGTTAGATCTACCTTAAACTTTATTGGCTGAGCTGTCATTCCCATTGGCCAGTTAGTCTCACCTTAAACTCACTCCATTGGATGAGCTATTGATTATGTTATTGGTCAGTTAGATTTACCCCAAACTAACTCCATTGGCTGAGCTGTCCCTGCTACTATTGGTCAGTTAGATTGACCTTAAACTCCATTGGCTGAGCTGTCTCTTCTGCTATTGGCCAGCTAGTTACACCTTAAAATCACTCCACTGAGCTGTCGCTGCTGCTATTAGTCAGTTAGATCTGCCTCACCTTCCATTGGCTGAGCTGTTTCCTTGCTATTGGTCAGTCAGTTAGTTAGTTAGTCCCAGTCTCTGGCCGTTCAGGAATCTCCAAGAAGCAGCTCAATGTTTTGATCAGTCACTTTCCAGGCAAATCAGCCTTTGAATTGTTTACTTGTAGATGTCTCTGCATATTAAGCTGGGATTGTAGAAAATATTTTGACATCAAGGGGGAATAAAAACACACACACTTCACCTTTAAAAGCAATACAAACAGGAGATTTAGGGAAAGCCCCGGCTCCTGGTGGGAATTCCCAGCCTAAGAAAGCTTCCAGAAAACAACAGACTGCAAAAGTACATCACTGTCCTGCTCTTATAAAGAAAAGCAGGCCAGCGTTTCATCAGAGGCATCACCACCGCAAAACAAACAACAATGAATTATGTCATTTTGCTGTTAAGGAAATATCCCAACCGTTAAAACCACACTGACATTTGAGGACAAGAGCTGAAGTAGTGTGTGTGTGTCAGCCACTAGTGTGAATGTGCAGTTTTATAGCAGCAAATCTAATTTAAAGTCTGCTGCAATCACTGTGAGAAAGTGTCCCGAGCGAAAGCCAAACATCTCTGGAGGGGAAGGAGAAGTGTCCTGGAGCCAGCTGACTCCGCTGTTTTCTGTCCGTCTCTATTTCTGCTGTTTTTCAGGGGATGATGCAGGTTATGTGAGGGGAAATGTTCAGAGAGATTGCGATAAAACAAAGCTGTTCTCATCATATCAGTTGATATCTGACATGCAATATTAAATAAAAGCAGATCGTTCATTTATGCGGCTGGCGAGAGTCCAAGTGTGAGTGTGTTTGGATAATTGTGTCACGGGGAAGTTCTGCTGTGTTAAAACCTGCTCATTTTCCCCCACAGTCCATCTGTGAAGCATGGACCTCAGCGAAGACTTCTCAGAGCTAATTACATTTACAAAGAGTGTGTGTTTTATTTCATCAGAGCCTCTGTGTGTGTGTGTGTGTGTGAGAATGAGAAAGTGTGTGTGTGAGAGAAAGAGTGTGTGGCATTCTCACAGATAACAGCATGGACCTGTAGTCACCATCAAATCCTGTCCTGCACCGCTGCATCGAGTCTTGTTTGAGATAATTTCGGCCTCTGCGCCTATTTAGCTATAAGAGCGCTGTGATTTTAATTAATTTCCAAGAAAAATGTAATGCGAATGAATTAGAGTCTTAAAACAGTAAAAAAAAAAAAAAAAATAGCCGAATGTTTATTAAATATGTTTAGAAATGGTTAAAAAAATAAGCAAATAAGTAAACATAACACTGCCTCGCCACCATGTGATAGTATCGCGCATCGGGGATCTCACAGGGGGACAATATGGCGATCTGAAAATGTTGTATATTACCTTACACTACTTTGTTTATATAACTGTAGTAGTTATAGTGTTACCATAGCATC